TTAAAGCGCTGTTCGGCTTGGTGGGGGCAACAAATGGTACTTAACGAATCTTGTACAGGCCACCTACTGGAGGCCTGTGAACTTCTGCTTCCAAACTTAACTCTCCCCCCCCCCTCCAATGCCGAACAGCGCCTATGGTAAAGACCGTAGACAAACTTTTTTGCTGACTGCGTCCATAAAAGAGATGTAGGAGAAATCGAAGTGGTTGTGGTGGAATTATCAGCAGAATTACTAGTATGGCATGGAGAGCTAAAGCCGTGATAAAGTCACCAAAGAACTTTTGGGTGTTATCTCGAATTTCGTAGACCTTGAGTCAGAATGAGACAGCAGTATTCCATAAGAACGCATGAAAGCGAGTGCACTAAGCGCCAGAGGTGAATGAAGTTGAGGAGTTCTCCCGAAATCCATTTAAAAATTGGGTGCTCTGGATCAAAAATTGGTGCACTGGGGCACTGGATCCAAAACATGCCGAGATGGTGGAAAACTATTTCTGTACAATATAGCCGAAGGATAAAGCTTTCGCCATCGATCGATCCCTTTCTGGGATGCGACACGTATTCTACCCTCATCCAGGATCGTAATGGTTCTTGGGCTTCCGGCGGAGAGAGGGCATGGTTGGCCTGAGCGGAAGCCGATTCTGGATGCGACCTCCGAATGGCACGCGTCATAATCGTGTCACTCACTGCTACACCACCTCCGCTCAACTTCTGTAGCATAGTAATTTGAATTCATTTTCATCGCTGCTGCTTCATAACCTGTACCTCTGCTACACCTGAGGTAGTCTCTAGAGGCCCCGATTCCACCCGAATTCTGTCGAAATCGGAGTAAATCGCCTTGGAGCGAGCGGATGAGGGACATTTTGCGCTCTCGTTACTTCCTTGCCGGTCGAGCCGCGAATTGTGGAATGTTTTGAAGCCATGAAGGGATAGATGCTGACCATGAGAACTAGTGAAGTGCAAAGCCCTTCCGAAGCTAAAGTGCGCCATATTTTCATCAGGAGGTCACACGTTTGGATTCAAAGACGCTGCTGGCTGCCCAAGCTGATCATGTAGGCGGAGTCAGGGCTAATGATGTGTTCTCCTCTCTCTTTCCTAGTCGTAAAGAGGATAGGCGCGTCAATTAAGGAACCATAAGCGTAAGTCTGGCTCCTCCCATGCGATCAGCGTAGACTGCGCATTGATAGCTCGTGAACCTTACCTCAGCATCTAGAAGTACTTGCATTTCCGATCCTTCGGGAATGAAGTCTTATTGCTTCATCCTTTTCCGGTTTTCTTTTCTCTTGACATTTCAACATTACACTTTTCTGAACGTTCCGTTTAACTCGTCCGAAAGCCCGTTTGAAAATTTAC